CAAACCGCAAGTAAAGCAAGAGGGTGAAAGTGATGGAGGCCATCCCTTGATATCCATGGAATGTGCCTGGCCAATGACAGCACTGGGTATTTGTAGGGGCAGGGATCTCTTCATGTTCAGTTGAACAGTTGATAACCGGCTGACAGTATCCAAAGAATTATCAGTGCTATCTGTACTGATTGGTCCTGATTCTGCTGATTCCATCGATCCAGAGGCAGATGCTGAGTGTAATCCTGATGGAGTGGATTCCATTGATCCAGAAGCAGATGCTGATACTCTTGATGATGACATGGACTCCATCGATCCAGAAGCAGATGCTGATTCTGTTGCTGATGCTGATGCTCCAATAGATGTAGTCTTCTCAAAAGTCTCATTAGATATGATCCCAAGGCTAATTAATACATGAACGTGTATGCATATATTTTTGGCTTTGTTCTGTTTTGCCTTTGCAACAAATGTTTTGCAGTCCTTAGAATAACATTTGAGGGCATCTTCCTGCACCTTCACATGACAATACCCGGCAAGACAAGACATCTGTCATCGTGGTTACTGGTCTTGCAAGAGTAAACGCTCCATGGACCAACAACAACTGAAGAACACAATGGTATGTCCAGTTTTGCTTTCTTGGGGTTTTTGGGAATGAAAGTGCCTCCCAAATGGAATCCACAATTGGTACACTTAGGCTGTTTGTACCTATTGGCATATGCAAAAAGACAGTTGGGACATTTGCCCTTGCCTCGCTCACAAGAAGCCTATAAAGTGAAAGAAAAATAATGTATTATAAATAATTTGGCTATCTTAATAAGGGGTCCAAATAACATTAAGACTATCCCATTGACACTGAGACTTTGGGTGGGGCTCCAAGCAGATAAAAATAAATAACTCTAAGCTGAGAAAGAAAAAAAAAGGCTCAAGGTACAAACTGTTCCCCTCATTGCACTTGCCACATAGGCTATATTCAACCCTAAACAACCAGTTACATCAGTGTTGTTTGAAACTAAGCTTATATTCAAACAAGCATGATTCAGTTAAGCAATTCAGAGAAATGATTGAACATTGTTAGAGATAATTTAAATTTACACTAAACACAAAGCAAAAGGCAAAGTGAATAAAAACTGGTCGGAGAAGGCAGGAGTAGCAAGGAATTAGAAGAAAGAGACAAACGTAACAGTTGAGAGGAGAGGATGGGCAAACTTCTATTAAACAAGAATGCTAAAATGTACAGCTACACACATCTTTCCCCGGAGTGGAAAGTCAGTTGACCATGATCAATGACGTCAAGCTTTCATGAAGGCTGTGACTTTCAATGGAAACTAGCAGAGTTTAAAAGGTAATTTTGTCACTCCCTTGCGAAAAATTAACAACTTTGATAAGATAAGAGACTGATGCTGCCCAACATTCTCCTGGGCTATGCTTTTTATGATATGGCTGTGTCAGTCCAAGCATTAATATTTGTAACTAATGCAACAAATTTAAACAAATGCAGACCCGTGTTTGTCCAAAAATGCATGATTTGTAGACCATTACATGAATCTTTGTCATCACTGATGAACTCATTTTGATCAGTATCTGAAAGTTGTTAAAATATGTCAGTTCATATATGGCTTTTTTGGTTTCTGTGTGGAGAAGAGATCCGATGACAGACAGTTTGTTGACAGACAGCTTATCAGGGAGGGGTAATTACTATGTAAATCTGTCCCTAGGGCCTGGGATAAATCCTTCAAATTTACACTATTCCCGGGGGAGGTTAGAGGTCGTGGTTGCAACTGACTAGTGCATAATTAATAGAAGATTACTTTCTTGCGTATAGAGCTTACCATCTAGATCAGGATGTCGACGGCAGACTAAAAATGCTAGTATCCGTCTTTGTCTACAAGAAAGAAAAAGCACGTCTCACAAACAAAAACAAAATTCAAAAGTCTCGTAACTCGATCGTATATCGATCAATTTGAGGATTTGTATCGCCAAAATCAAAGCCTACATCTCAACTTAACAATGAACGTCCTACGCTAAAAACAGATGATGACTTATGTATGTGAAAGCCTTAACCGAAAGAAAGGAGAAATGTCAAGTCTCACAACAATGAGGTAGCGAAGAGGTAGAAGAAAACTGCATAAAAGATAAGCATACCTACCACATGCGTGTTTTTTAGATAAGCCTTCTTCTTCCTGCGTTGTGTTTGCGAGAAGCACGAGAAGCCTTCTTCTCTTCTTCAATGCAAACGAACGATCTCTTCTTCTTTCTCTCAAACCACGATCTCTTCTTCTTTCTCTCAAACCACAATCTCTTCTTCTATCAAACGTTATGCGCGTACGGTGAACAAAAACTGATACGGTGAACCAAAAGTGATATATTTCTTCGATGAAGTCTAGCGTCGGTCTGGTTATGTTAGTTGCAGTGAGTGACACGCGACCGCGCGACCGCTGAAACAGTGATCTCTGATTGGCTGCCACCACCGCCACCGAACATTTGCAAGAACCAATCAGATCCAACCTTGTAAGAGCTGCGAGCCTACCGAGACACTTAGCCATAAAAATTTGATAGCGTCAAGGCATATTAAAAGGAAAAAAAGGGCCTTATTTCCGGGTGACCTGAGTCGATCAATAACGCCTTTGCTTAAGCTCACAAACGTTTCTTTCGCGTATACACAGCCCACCATTATCCTAAAGAATCATTTCGCATCGAAGAAAATGGTTATCACCGAAAGATACAGATTCCTCAACCGTACACAACGCGAAGGCTAGAGTGTCACAGCGCTCGCTGCTAACCTAAAACATCTGGCTTCAACTTGTCAGTTCGGCAATCACCTGAACGAAGCTTTACGCGATCGTTTCGTCTTTGGTTTTCGCTGCAAGGAGACACAAAAGAAACTGCTAACTGAGGAACACACCTTCGATGCAGCATTGAAAGTCGCCCGCCCTCAGCGCCGAAGCTGCCGAAAAAGATGTTGCTGCATTTTCGCACGATACTTTAGCTTCTGTCAAAGCTAGCAAAACTAACTATACGAGAGAACGACTCAGGGAAGAACTGACAATTTGACTAACAATAGACGACTGTTTAACTGTGACAATAGACGGATCGAAACGCACCAATTACTGATTACGAGTCTTCATAGCCAATAACATCACGGCTTAACTGACAGACGACCAATAACATCGCGACGTAATTGACCAATCAGATCAATAACCAGAGTAAAATACCATCAACTGACGTGATACAACTCACTTTGACTTTGAAGATGACTACCGCACAGGTTGCCGAAACGTCAGTCACTGTCAACAACAACAGTCCTATTCAGGACTACGTTCACCCGGACGATCAAACTCAACCTACTATTTAAAAATAATAATGATAATGATGAAATACAATAAAAAAATTAAAAAGATATATTTTATGATTAATAAAAAAAGACATAAGGAAAAATAACAACAGCAAAGAAAAAAATAACAGTTTCAGCGGTACCGAAGCCCGAACGAAAGGTGTCGAAAGGGGATGGGGGATATATAATAGTCCCTGTTTAAAATTAATTAAAGCTACTGTGAAAGAAATAAAGTCGAAACAAGGATGTGTGGTTTCCCCTGGGAAGGCTTTTTAATTATTATTATTAATTTGTTGCTACACTATACGGATCGGGAATCATGTCCATTTGGCCGCAGCCTCTCGTGTAGTATTATTGTAAAGCTTTGTGTTATTAACTTAAACTGAGTTGTCTAAATTATTTGAAAATATTTGTCTTTGTAAACTTTGCTCGGGTTTGCATCAAATGAATTCAAGGTCTGCGTGGGTGGTACTCCCATATATGGGCTAGACAGGCAAGTGTGCCCGATAATGTATGGCTTTTTTTAGGGTTTCCACCCTTAAATAGGGCATAGGTTTTGCCCTTGTTGGTGCTGTATTTGCAGTGTGATCCTCAGTAGGAGAAAGTACCTTGGAGTATTATAGGGAATGCTGGGAACGACGGAAGTGCATTTTGCTAGTTTACTAACTTCCCTCGATGCAATGCGTTCCCAACAAAGTTGTCCCAGAGGTGACCTGGAACTGGTCTGATCATAATTGGCGCTAGAAATGGATTATTGCCCATTTATGTCGACAGGAAGAGTCGACGGATGGGTGGGAGTATACTGTAGTTTCTGAGGAGCGATTCCTTTCAGTTTTGATGATTTTTTACTTCCACTCTTGTATAAAATGATTCAGACCGCACTGGGCGGGTGGATGTTACCAGAATGGATACATGAAAGGTGGAAAGTTGACCTTTGTTCAGACTTCTACTTGTCCTAATGGACCTCCCAAAGGTGGTGTATGGTTCCCAGTCTCAGTCGCAGTTCACGGTCAAGACATACAAGTGTACCTCAGTGGGGTCCTGGTGGCGTCCATCAAGTCCCATTTCGCTCCAAGGGCCTGGGGAGGAGTTTTCACTTTTCATGGTTACAAAAACGAGGTCCTCTTCAGGAAATTCCGAATTGCGCCTCAAACGTACATCACTAAGAGATGTAAAAAGATAGTGTGAAACACCTATGACACAAAAGCGGTACTTCACGCCAGTCAATGACACAATAAGAAATTAGTATCATCAACGACTTTGTGTTACAAAGCCGTTCCAAAACCACTTGACGAGAAGTCTGCAAGTTCATTAAAGAAGAATCCCGATTTCTCGAACCCTCGGTTTTTTGAAATTTCGCGATAATTTGAACCAAATTAAACCTATAGATAACTTCTCCTCACCAGTAACCACTTGACGAGAAGTCTGCAAGTTCATTAAAGAAGAATCCCGATTTCTCGAACCCTCGGTTTTTTGAAATTTCGCGATAATTTGAACCAAATTAAACCTATAGATAACTTCTCCTCACCAGTCAAAACCTGTAATTTCCCCCGATTTTTCGAATCTCCTGATAGTTCGGACTAATTTCCTCTTCACAAGGTGGTTCGAAAAATAGGGATTCCTCTACACAAATAAACTTTAAAACGTGTTCTCCAAAAGTTGCATGACCAGTTTGGCTTTTATTAAATGCTGACTCATTTTGCTTCATTTAAAGGCCAATCAACAAGGCTGTAAAGAAGTCGGATTCTTAATTGCAATCTCTAGTTTCAATTTTTTATTCTTTCGACTCGGGTAATGTTTGATATCAGGTCGTAAGCACATTTAAAAATCACTGAAATAGCTTTTAGTACACTTTAGTTGTTCTGCAAAGCTTCAAACATAGCACACACCACCCTCGGATCGGTCTCCTTAACTTATGGGTTTAATTTTACTTTTCCGACGAGTGTTCCTGCGTTCATACGGGAGTTTACCACCTTCCCCAAGAAGAGTGATGAAGAGGAATTTTCACACATGATTTTACTTCACGACATACACGTAATTTTTAATGTACCGACGCAGGTTGATGAGCTACCTGGATACACTAAAGTGGATGCTGCCCATGGACGTTGGCCGCAGGATGGCTTCTGTCAAGTAGCTTACCTTAGAGACGGCAGTACATTAAGTTATCAGCTCTCAGTCGATATGTACAACTTCATTGGACGTGACGGAGTCAACTTTGGTCGCCCAGGAGTGTTGTTAAACGCCGAAGATCAAGACAACTATGATTACGTCTATTTTAGGTTTGTTGCAATTTATACACGCGTAAGAGGGAAGTTGTCACTATTTTGATTTCAAACCAGAGCGACAATCTGAATTTTTCAAAATCTTCTTACGACCAGCTTCGTTTACGAAAATGATTTTGGGGGTATTAGAAATTCTATGTGTCGAAGATGAGGAGTGCTATATTAGCTGACATGTTTTCGTGACTCAGTTATGTAATAAGCTTTTTAGGTCTTATAATCGCATTCGCTTATTTTATGTATTGTTTCTTTTTATTTCCCAGGCCTCATTCATCCAGCGGATGTTTTCAGACGGGTTACGTTTACAAAGGTCAACCAAAATTTGACGGAGCAAAGTCCGCCTCTTGCCCCAACGGTCCCCCCAAGGGAGCAGAGTGGTTCAACATCAGGGTGGTGGTGTCGAACTCCACTCCTGCCGGGGAAGTGAAGGTCTACCTCAAAGGAACATTGGTGACATCATTCAACCCGCGCTATCCAATCAGAAAACGTGGTGGTGTCTTGGTTACAACAATGTGGTTTATTACAAGAACTTTAAGTTTATGTAAAGCAGTCAGTGTTTCCTCAATTTAACGAAGGGCTTTTTATACAAATCAAAGAAAAATATTGGACTAGAGTTGTAGCTTGTTTATCAGTTAGTAACTTTCTATTCTAAAATATACTTTTTTCTGCTTATGTTATAGTCAAGAACAATAAACGGACAACTTTTGTCAAAAAACAGTTTGACTTTGTGTGGATCCATTTACAACATACGCGAATAGCTGTTGCATTAACCAGCTGGAATTTTTTTATTGTTTTTAGGCTTAATTATAAGTTAGCAAGTTAAAAAATGAATATACTAATCATCTTAAAAAGATGTGATCAAATCCCTAGCCAACTGCCAAACATAACTGTAGGCTCTTAGCCAATGAGAAGGCAGGTACTTGGTACAATGTCTAATAATGACAGTTAATTTTCAAGCCTCTGGTTGGTACCGGTAGTCCAGTTGAGATTACCCTGGTTACAACAAATTTTTTCTGGCGTGCGACATGCGGCGAGAAGCTTCGTCGGCCACGCCTTCATTATTAACTAAGACATAACCGAAACCGGAAACCGGGCAGGAAAAGCCTCTGCCACCCAGGGTAATTTGAGATTTGAATCTCAACAAATCTGCGACCTCCCTATAGGAAATCTGACTCTTCTGCGCGCGTTTAGTAAGCTAACCGGGCGTGATCAACACGTGTTAACGCGCGCGTTTAGTACTGGCGCTAGGTTTTCACTGGTAGATGGAATATACTAGAAGGATTGTTTCAGTAGAGATGTTCATTATGTAAAGAACCCCTTAGGTACAGTCTGTTTGCTTCATTCCCCCGACTACTCAGAAAAGCATGGGTTACGTCTCGCTAATTGTGTTGGCTTTTTTGCTGGCGAAAGTTGGCGGCGCAAAGAGCCAATGTACGATAGCCAAGGTGTGTAGCGCAGTAGATAACGTCTTACGGCGGCAAGATCGAATGGGGAAAAAAGTTAACGCGATACTTGGCGGCAGTTGTTCTGAAGCTGGTGAGTTTCACGAATGCCTTTAAATTTCTCTTTCATTCAATGCCCATAAAAATTCGAGGAGTCTACAAGTGTACATACTAAATTTTGTGTAACTTATACATTAACTGACTTTTTTGCATAAGAGTGACCTCAATATATTCATCGAGGCAAATTTGTATTGCTCCGAGGCAACCTTATGGAAGATCTTGACGATTTATCATATTTTTCCGGTAATACTTTTAGGCCTTAAACTGCTTGAACAGCTAGGTTGATCATCAGATTTATCGCGGCATCGTTTACAGGATCACATCCATCAATCATGTGAATAATTTCATTCGCCCTTGATAGATGAACAGATTAATATATTTATTTCAATTTGAAAAATTG